TGTGTGTGTGTGTGTGTGTGTGTGTGTGTGTGTGTATCTACGTACAGGATTTTTGTAATGTGCTTTTTTGAACATCTTTCATTAATTATAATTAATTATAATTAAGTTGCAAAATCAGAAAATTACATACGACGCAGCAGCAGTTGAATGAAAACAAACAAAAAAAAATTGTAGAAAGTTAAATTACCAGAAATTAAACCAGTATTTAAAAAATTAAATTGTATTAATTAATAATAGTATAGTATATAACATGCCTAGAGTCAATAAAAGTAAATAAAAAATCACAGTAATTTTACATTATACAAATGTAACTGGATTATTGGAAAATTTGTGATTTACCAAAAAAATTGACTAAAATAACTTTGGCATAAATTGATTTGACTATAATATATTATATAAACATATAATACAAACAAAAATGTTTTTTAAAATATATTAATCAGAACGTTGAAGAGTTCATTAATGTATTACAAAGTTACAGTTTTTTTTAGAAGAAAAACACAGTAAACACTGTAAAAAATATTTGACCACATTCATTCATAGATGGACCGACATATTTCACAGATTAAATCCAATTACGGCAGAAACTGTTGATTAGCATATGGGATTAGATTATTGATATTGAGGAGTAAGATTAATAATAACTGCTCTCACAGGGAGAAAAAAATAATTAAAAAATTAAATATAATTGACATTAAATGTGAACAACTAAAATCAACTCAAGTCATTGATTTTTTTTTTTTTTTTTTTGGTTTGAAAAAATGACTCTTTGTGAAACAACTAGGTCTCAATAACTTGTCTAGTACCTGGACCACACACACACACACACACACACACACACACACACACACACACACCAACATAACCAGCATAAACAGGGCTGACAAGTTGAGATTAATGAAGGGCGCGGCAGTGACGGAGCGATTTAATTGTCAGCCTTGATGACTGTTGAACTCCTGTGTATTTATACAAGGTTACCACCGTGCCTTCAAATGTTACTAATTAATCATGACTGATAAGTAATTAGAAAAACTGATAGTGCGTCCTGCTCCACACGCGTGTCAGAGGCGCACACGCCGAGACACGGCAGGAGGTTAGGAGGAATAATCTGGAAGAAAAAAAAACAAACTGAACTCTTACAGATCGTTGGTGACATTTTAACGTTGGACTGACGTCCGTGGAGACGCTGACGCTGAGTGGACGGACAGCAGGGGTCAGTGTTCAGGTTAGGACCTGGAGCCGCCAATTAAAAAAATAAAACTTAAAGGACAAGACGAAAACTGTCGTACAAAAATGACCAGGAGGTACATTAATCACGATTAATTGGTATCATAATTGATAACGATAAATTGCGATTTATTCGGAAAAAAAATCATCATTGTTTTTTTTTTTTGTCTGTGACTAATCCAAATGATGGGATTATTAATCTGGACAAATGTCCACCGGTCACTGAAATCCAAATGATGGGATTATTAATCTGGTCCACTGGTCACTGGCACAAGCCGGGCCGCTGACCTCAGGTTGAAACACCCACAAACACAAACAGATGAGTATTATATTTTGAAATTTCAAATTGCAAAAGTAACGACATCTAAAACGGTGGTTCTCAACGGGGGGTCCACGGACCTCTGGTGGTCAGTTGGCGTTAGTGAACTATTTTGCGGCCATGCTAATGTTGTTCTGTTTGCTGCGATTATTGACATTTTTCGAGCCATTTCATTGGCTTCCGTGATATTTATAGAACAGTGAAAATAAATGTTTTTTTTTTTCGTCTGTGAAAAATTAATGAGTAAAAATAATTTATTCCTACAGTAACAATCACAAAAGTGAAGGTTTTTAACCAAACTTAGCCGTGATTATTATCAAACTTCCGCTCCGTCATTAAACTGTGAGTGTGTGGAACACTATGTAAAAGAGTGTGTATAAAGATACACACTCACACCCCGGCGTTCCTGTGCAGCGCTGCGTTTATGGCCGTCGTAAAAGACAGTTGTGTCTGCGGTTATTACCTCATCCTGCTGCAGACACATCTTTTTAGAGCGGCTGGATGATAACTGAGGAGGGCTCCAGGTTTGGAGGGTTTTATCTGTGATTAAAATTCACATTTTATATCACATCACACGTGCACCGCCCCCCAGGACGGGGCCGCCACCACCGCACCGCCGCCATGTTTGGATGAACATTACTCACACATCAGCGCGCGTATGAACACACCCAAAACACACACATGCATGCATAAACACAATCCCTAATCACACCGCCACCCCCCCCCCCTCCCCCCCCCCCCCCCCCCCCCCCCCCCCCCCCCCCCCCCCCCCCCCCCCCCCCCTGGTTCCAGCTGAGTAAGAGCAGACCTGCGTCGTTTCACCTCCGGGGGGCCGCGGCGGTCAGAGGTCCTGTGTAATGGTCCAGTTCAGTGAGACAACTCCAGGAGCCGATACACTCCGCTACCCCCGCAGCCCCCGCCCCAGTGTTTTATCAAAGCCAACGCTGATGCTAAGTGTTTGAGTGTGTGTGTGTGTGTGTGTCTAAGTATGTGTGTGTGTTTGGGGTTTCGCTGCAGAAGTTCAAACTGTGGTTCATCGTGGTGTTCCCTTCGTAGCCTTCAGGGGTCTCACACTCAAATGAGTCGGGGGGGGGCACTAACACTGACATCTTATTGAGGGGCAAAAAAAAACGACCTGTTAGGGTCAGATTACTTTACTGACATTTGACCTTTGACCCACTACGGGCCTGCAGGCTAAAATATAGAATTTGGTGTATAGATAATTACAGGCTAAAATATAGAATTTGGTGTATACATAATTATATATGTATATATTGTTTTTGTTTTTGCCTCAGTTATGCTAACCGTTAGCTTAGCTTTTATGTTGCTTTACTACTGCTTTTTTTGTATAAACTCATGCGTTGGTTTTTCACTTTGATTTGTCTGAACTTGAGTCCAGCTTTGAACCCGCTTTTCAACCAGTGCTTGAAAACCACAATTGGAAATGCAGCCCCAGGTCATGACAGAGCCGCCCCTACACTGCACTGATCTTTGTGAAGATTTCACGGCTTCTCTTGAATGTGTGTGTCGATCAGTTCAGCACCAACGTGTGTGTGTGTATGTGTGTGTGTGTGTCCACTGGCTGCTTTTCTATTACCCAGGGGTCCCCAACCCCTGGTTCGTGGACCAGTACCAGTCTGTAGGTCATTTGGTTCAAGGCCACAGTGAGAAAATCTTTACTGAAAGATAATCAGTTCAAAAATAATTTCTCATTAAGACTACGAATTTTTAAAGTTTAATGATCCTCATTAAGACTACGAATTTTTAAAGTTTTTAAAGTCAACGAGCAGTCGATTGGTCGATTGGTACAAAAAAGGTTAGGGACCGCCGTTCTAAAGAGTTCTCTAAAACCTCCTGTTAGCACCGACGTTTGGATAAATGCTGTTGGCCCCTCGCGTTTAACACCAGAGATTAGTGTGGGTATCGTGTGTGAAACGCAGGGGTAGCTGTAGCTTTGCTAAGTGACGCAGTGATGTCATCGCGCCTGTGTTTTCACATGGCAACCCGATAGCTCAGAACAATCCAAGGCGAGCAATTTTGGGCTCAAGTGCACTTGACAGAACAGAGAGATAATTGCAGGACTTTGTGTCCGCGGAGCCTCCAGAGATCCCCGGATCAAAAACCCTCTAAGATTTCGGACACTTTGATGACGCGTTAATGCCTGGAAAAACATTTACCGCCTCAGAGATCACACATGGAATGATGT